GTGGAGCTGTGCAATTGTCGTTCCATTTCTGGATCTCACTCAATTGGTATCGAAGTATATATATTTAAAAAAGAATGATCCTTAGACAAGGAACAGCTCAAGGTTAAAATGGAATCAGACCTGTGTTTGAATTGATGACTTTAAAGAAAAGACAGAAGTCTCATGACACTGTCATCATCCAACAGGTTCAATTAAGATGACAGGCTTTTCGAGCTCTGCTCTTCATTAGAAGGAGTTAAAGAAAAGAAACATCTGAATAATTATTAACTGAATATTACATTAATCTGTTTGACATTGTCAAACTTGGCTGATGTTGATTTATAGGAGTTAACTCTTCTGTCTTCTTGCAGGAACAAGACAATGTAATATTTGCTCAGTACAAAGCCAAGGGTGACCAGCTGCTTCTAATAAACAGCAGGTATGTTACCACTGTCCGAGCAGAGAACATCCTTTCCACAGGCACAGAGCAGATTGAGTCAGAGACACATTGAACTCAATTTCCAGTGATATGCATTCAAGCCAACAGTCAAACACAACCAACAAAATACAAATAGTTTTGTTTTCTCTGTTTTCTCAACACACACCTCCCCTGTTTCAAAAAAATTCACCATTTGTAGCCTATTGACATTTACAACATTTTTGGAAATGAATAGACTGAAGTTTCATCTGAAATAGACACAAAAGAACTGCAGTAAATCTACATTTAGTAAGCATGTTTTTAAAGTTACTGTCAAGGTGAAGAAATAGTTCATGCTGTTACATAGTTACACCAACCATACGTGTAGTAGATAATGAGCACAGATATGTAAGAAAACATTCACATTATCAGTAACCGAGCAGAACAGTATTAATCTTTTGACAAATAGATGTCCCAGGCATAGACAGAACAATTAAATAACGTGCCTTCCAAATGCACATCCTGTGCCAAAGCCTGACACAGAATGCTAACAGAGTGCATGCACACACACTCTGACGCACACACACTCCACTGAGTGATTACAATGAGTTGTAAATATATACGCTATCCCATCACACGTGTTACACCATCTAACAACCATGAAGATGATATATATTGCAAGCCTCAGAGCACGTAACATTGGAAATGATTTCCACTCACGGATTTCAGGTCAGAGAGCTAGCCTTTCATGATAAGAGACAAACAGAACAGAACATAAGCTAAATACTTCAATCCCCATGTGTACATGCACTCCCGTGTTTACAACGTGAATATCACTCGTTCGCTACATTGGAAAAAACTGGACAAATTTTGTGACACACTGAATTCCCATGAAGTAGTCCTAGAAGTATATCGAACAAGAAATTAATTGAACCTCTATACGTCTCACCATCTCTTAGACTTAGAGAGGTAATTAAAGTGTCATTTCCTTTTGTACAAACTGGAGAAATTGCATATCAGGACAAAGTTTCAGATTGAAACTGATATTGCCATTGAATTTGTTTGCACAAAACAACGAACTGAATAGCAGAACCCATCTGATGCACTTCTACTGAATATAAAATTTGCTATTAAATGGACCAGAAGGAAATCAAGTATTGACCTAAAACGATACAGAAAATAACCTACATTCAAGCAGATAACCTGGATTGTTGACTGTACAATTAAGAATGTCTCATACAGTGAGCTTGCAACAACATATGAACATTAAACTCTAAACGCATTCAGACCAGAGACTGACCAAGCCAGAATAAAACTTGAACTGTACCCTAGAAACTTGACAGGGAGAGAATAATAAATGCATTCACACATTCACAAACCAGATAGTGACAGGTTTAGTTTAATAACTCATCTCTTAGATTTGCAGGGCAGGATCTGACTGGGACAAATGGGTAAATACACTCGCACAGCCATGGAGAAGAAACTGACAGGCACATATTGATAACCATATTCACACATCAGAAAATGACAGGGACAGAAAGACAAATGCACACATGACAGGAAAAGGAAGCATAAACATATATAGATTCATGACTACATTTATATTCACAGAAGAATTTGACAGATACATATTTGTACCATTTGCATAGGACTTTGGTTCAACCACATTTGGAATACTGCGTACAGTTCTGATCACCAAATTACCAAAAGGATGTGGATGCTTTGGAGAGGGTGCAAGGAGGCTCACCAGCATGTTGCCTGGCATGGAGGGCGCTAGCTATGAAGAGAGGTTGAGTAGATTAGGATTATTTACATTAGAAAGACAGAGGTTGAGGGGGAGACCTGATTGAGGCCTACAAAATCATGAGAGGTATAGACAGGGTGGATAGCAAGAAGCTTTTGCCCAGAGTGGGGGACTCAATTACTAGGGGTCACGATTTCAAGGTGAGAGGGGAAAAGTTTAAGGGAGATATGTGTGGAAAGTTCTTTACGCAGAGGGTTGTGGGTGCCTGGAATTTGTTGCCAGCGGAAGTGATAGAGGCAGGCATGATAGCATCATTTAAGATGTATCTAGACAGATACTTGAATGGGCAGGGAGCAGAGGGATACAGATCCTTGGAAAATAGGTGACAGGTTCAGATAGAGGATCTGGATCGGCGCAGGCTTGGAGAGCCAAAGGGCCTGTTCCTGTGCTGTAATTTTCTTAGTTCTTTGTAACACGCTTCCGCATTCACGAAAGAGGAATTGATGGGTATAGATTGATAACTGGACTCACATATTACACAGCAGAAACTGAGAGGGACAGATTGATGATTACACTCACATCTTCACATGACAGCTACTGACAAGTACAGAACAATGATTATCACTCACACACATACATTCATCGCCTGCAGCACAGCAAACAGTCCTTTCTCTCATCGAGTCTACACTGTTAAGAAATAACCAGCCAACAATTCTACACTCATTCAGTCAGCATT